GTAATTGGGAGCCTATGTGGACCGTTGCCAAAGCTGTTACGTTGCAGGGAACTGAATGCGATCTACAGATTATGAAAGCGTTCCGCAATCTACATCGAGCAGTGATATCCAAGTTGCTTGTTCTATCGGAGGAAGATCGTGATAAGGTGTTTAAAAAGATGTATCGCAAGGTTTCGACCAAGGTTCTGAAGTTGAAGTCACTTGACCGCGACTCAATGGAGTGCTTCTTCTTCAGAGTCTCGCTATCGCAATTCTGGCTTCATCGGGAACAGCTTTCTGGCGCATTTGTTGAAAAAGAGCTCGACTCCTGCCGCCGGCATATGTTTGATTTGGTTGTGGCTGAAGTTCGATCTGTCAAGGATCAGTTGAAGAAGAAGAAGAAGATTGAGGAAACCATTACATTGATCAAGATCCTTGATGCCCTGGAGGACTTTGAAGACTTAGTGGCGGATAGCATTGAGGTTGACAAATTCTTGACAAAGATCGAAAGCTACGTCCAAAGGTCTCTGGACTCGCAATCTTCGTTGCGGAGGCTCATAAGTCGCCGTGTCTTTACTGGTCGGCGATCGAACAGAAGCATCACAGTTCCTGTTGTTCAATGCGCTGAAACTCTTTCCCTCCAACATATGTTTGGCGAGGAACAGCAACTTTTCATCCGAGCGACTACAGAGAAATTCAAGTCTATGAGCGTGGATGAAGTGACCGTGGTGTTTCAAGAATTACGGGAGCTTGGGTTCGGTGGCGATCGTGCCGCTTATCGCCTACTTGCTGCTGGTGTTGCAGTCGCTTCACTACCGTCTATCGAAGATAAGGAGACTTCTGCTGCAAAGGAGTTGTCTCTCCTATGCACGGCAGTTACAGAGTCTCTCTCGCATAGTACTTCCATTGAACATTTCACTTTCGCTACAGAGTGTCTGGACATTCTACTTCGCAACCACACCCGATGCATCGCACAATGGAACATCGACGGCCTGCTGGCGGCTATCGCAGTATGCGCCTCGAAAGCTGGACCCCGCATCGACCCAGAGTATGCTGCAACAATATACGTCCGGCTCTGTAAGCTGATGGGAGTGCTGCTGGGACTTCACCGTCAGAAACTCGGCGGGCGTTTCCACTTGATCCTTCCAGTCATGCAGCGACTTCTGAACTGCCTTTTCGCCCGCTCCAAGAAGAGAAGTCGATCCATGCTTTCTGCAAAGGGACACACTCAGCAGCCGTACTGGCTTGCACCATTGCAGGCTTCACATGCCGTCCATTTCACCCGTCTGCTCACCTCGCTCTGCGATCCCACTGTCTCCGCCGTCTCACGGCCCACACAATCTGGAGGCAGCCGTGAGGCTCTCACTGATCAGACCAAGAAAGCCAAGCGTATTGCGGGTCAGTATTTGCAGTACTTAATCATGGAGTACGCGCAGAGTTCACTTCGCGGCTCCTTAGTGCCGGAAGTGAAAGCAGCAATCCTTCCTGGTCTCTATGCCGTCCTGGACGTGATGTCGCGGGACACCATGCGCGGCATGAATGCAGGACTGGATGTTTCGGGACGGGCAATCTTCAAGGGGCTTTACGATGACTACGTGAAGTTTGGCAAATGGAACAAGGGTTAAGGCGGGCGCGACTGACGCAGCCGGTTGAGGTTGAATTGGCATTTCTTCTTATGTATACAAATACCACTTTTCCACTACATGTTAAATCATGAAAATTCTGTAACACGTACCAGAAGCAATCTTTCCGTAAACACAACCAGTAGCCAACGTTTCAATTGACTACCAGCATTGGCTCCTCGAGAAGAAATCACGTGATCTTTCTGATTTTTGGTGATATTTTCGGCATTGACTACATTTTCTATCTTCGAATCGTCAATCATTAAGACATCTGTCAATTCAGCTCATATCAGACAAATGGTAAGGACCATCACAATCTTAACTTTTGACAATATGAATCTTTTACTTGATCCCATCGAGTCACAATGACCATGAGATTAGATATGCCCAGCCCGCGGGGCGGCCTCATGGCGGACTCTGAGTCGCTGGAGCCGTGGAGCTCCCCAGTGCTCGGGCTGATTGCGGAGAGGCCAAGTGGAGCAGCAGCCACCATTTATGATCTTGATTGCTGATAACGGCTGTGGCTTACACGACTGAATGGAGCAACGGAAAATGATAGCCTTCCCCCAGCGGCCTGACCACGGCCCTCATCGTCTCATGGAGGGCGATAAGGGACGGTGGTTTGTCCACGGCTCAACTGGGCGGGATGATCCTGGCCATTCTGGGACCTCGGATCCTTCGCAATCCCTATCATAAGTGCACTTGCAATCTTCTCCTGTTCCTATGGGGAGTTAATGGTCGCATGTTACTGGCTGGTTGCAACTCAAGGTTACCTATCAGGGCTGTCATTGTGGATGGCTTGGGGTCACCACCAGGTTTATCAAGGTTGAGTTTATTGGATCATGACGCAACATAATTAATGTCTTATCTTATCCAAGCCATGGGATGGAGTGTGTACCTGAGTTTATATTCACATGAATTTCTCTTGATGGCATAGAAGCTGGTTGTTTTACTGGAGCGCGCGGGTGAATTGATTTAGTGTTGCGTCGTATACCTCATCATCTCCTTGTGTCTTGCCAACAAGCACTGCATCCTTCATTGCAGTGCTAAAATCTGTGTAAAACGCAGGATGGCCCGAATCAGGCGATGGGCCGAAAAGCTGAAGGTGCCGTCAGAGCCCGGACTGAGCAATGCTCAGTTGATGTTAACAAATGAAGACTTGCGGCCAGGTGAGATTCCCATTGTGGCCATCGGCTTATTCAACTACTTGAGGGCGTTCTTGTCTTAGAACCAGTGGGGAGTTTTCCATTTGAAATGAAGCTTATCAGTGTTCTTTCGTCTTGCAGTCGATCCTGACCGGCGTCAGTGGAAATGGTTCAATTTCATCGCTTTCTGGATTGCGGATTCACTAAATATCGTAAGTCGCATGCGCAGGAGTTGTTGAAGGCTTGGAGCAGCCTGATGCTGATTCGGTATAGAACACTTGGATGATCTCCTCTTCGATGATTGTCGATGGCCTCTCATGGTGGCAGTCCTGGATCTGCGTTTGGGTCGGATACTTTATCGCAGCCGTCTTCATCTGTCTTACCGGTCGTATCGGTGCGAAATACCACGTTCCATTCCCTGTCGCTATAAGATCTAGTTTTGGAGTCTGGGGCTCCTTTTGGCCGGTCCTGAACCGTGCCGTTATGGCTGTCATCTGGTACGGAGTGCAGTCATACATTGGAGGTGAGTTTTGTTTGTCGCCGACCAGTAAGCTTCAGGATAGAAGATTGATTGTTGACAGGACAATGCGTTACTGTGATGATCGAGGCTATCTGGCCTAGCTATGCCCATCTTCACAACTCCCTTTCTGCCAGCGCTGGCGTCGAGACCAAGGACTTTGTCAGCTTTTTCCTCTTCTGGCTTCTATCGTTGCCTGCTCTGTGGTTCCCAATCCATAAGGTCAGACATCTGTTTACCGCCAAGGCGATTTACTCTCCTATTGCCGCTATAACTTTCTTCGCTTGGTCGATTGCTCGCGCAAACGGTATTGGACCGGTTGTACATCAGCCCGCTACAGTTCACGGAAGCACTCTTGCCTGGGCGATTGTGAAGGCAATCATGAGCTGCCTGGGAAACTTCGCTGCCCTCATCATGAACGATCCCGACTTCTCGAGATTTGCGAGAAAGCCAAAGGATGCATTGTGGTCACAGCTGTTGACGATCCCCATTGGTTTCGGCATTACTTCGTTTATCGGCATTATCGCATCCTCAGCCTCCGCAGTCATCTACAACACTGACCCTGTGTGGAATCCGCTTGACCTGCTAAGAATGTTTTTGGATGGAGCTAGCTCGGGTGAAAGATTCGGCATCTTTGTGATTGCCACTGGGTTTGCCCTCGCACAGCTGGGAACAAACATCTCAGCCAATTCCGTCTCTGCTGGTACAGACTTGACTGCTTTGCTCCCGCGTTATCTCAACATCCGGCGTGGCAGCTATATTTGTGCTGCAGTTGGTTTGGCTATGTGTCCGGTATGCCCCTCTTGCTTGTCTGCATTGGCTGCGTTAGGGCAAGCACTGACATCTTGTAGTGGAACCTTGTGTCTTCGTCCAACCAGTTCACCACATATCTTTCGGCTTATTCCATCTTCCTGTCCGCCATTGCCGGTCCCATGATCTGTGACTACTATCTCAACCGCAAAGGCTACCTTCAGGTCAAAGATCTCTATAGCGCCAGCAAGGAAGGGCCATATTACTTCGTCTTCGGATTCTCCTGGCATGCGTATGCCTCGTATCTCTCGGGTATCCTTGTCAATATCGTCGGCTTTGCAGGCGCTGTTGGTCGTACCGTGCCCGTGGGAGCTCGGTATATTTACAATATCAATTACATTTCAGGCTTCTTCGTCTCCGCAGTGATGTACTATATCCTCACCCGCGTCTTTCCTTTGCCTGCATCGAGCGACAGATGGAACGAAGTGGATTCCGATGACGAGGTGGCCTATGGACAGGAAGTGGACTCGGATGATATGCCCATGCCAGGGAAAGTGAGCTCGCTGGATAAGGACTCGGGTACGGATCGGAAAGGAGCCAAGGTTGCCTCGGGGGCAATGGTTTGATTTCTTCTTTCTTCACGTTTTGTAATCTAATGACAACTCTAATGATGATCATGCAATGCCATACACGAATGATACCTAGTACCTCCTTGAGTTTTTGTCAACATCCGGTCTATCCGTTAGCGAAGAGCATACTCCCACGATACGGAAGACGGTTCGGACAGATGGGGTGAGTGAATGCTGCATTGCAACTCTTGAGTGAATATCAGAATAGAATATGGAAGTGAAGTGATCTGCTCCAGAGTCGACGAGTCTTCATGACGTAGATTGGTCGTGGTATTCAAGGTCAACCATCAACCATCTTCAACCTCACCTTCTACAACTACACGAAATATCTCAAACACAGCATCACAGCAAAGATAAGATGAAAGAACAAAACAAATCACCTCGATACCGCCGCATCGGAGCCGGTGCCTGCGGGACAGTCTGGGCGCCCTCAGAGCGAGGCCCAGCATACAAACGAGAAGATGGCGGACTTGCTCGATCCCTCAGAAACGACTACGAGAAGCATCAGAGAATGCTTCACAGCCTAAATAACCTACCACGCTCTGGAATACAGCCCCGTATTTACGTTCCTCGGTGCTATACCTTCATTCAACCTACAGATGAAAGCTGGTGGGCAGAACATCTCTCCCGCTTTCCTGAGGGCTACTCACCCTGCAATGTCATCCACTCGCAGCGCGTCGCTCCCTTTCCCAAGGCAACGAGAGAGCGCCTTGTTGCCGAATACTGTCCCTCTGATCTCGAAGCTGAGATTCTGGCCAGCGAGATGAACGAGGATTGTCTGGTTCGGCCGTACCTCGGTCGAAGACGGACACAGGTGAATCAGTCCGCGCGCGTCTCAAGGTTCAAGGCCTTTTCGCTCCGAAACTATCCGCTACATGTAGACCAAATGGAGGAACTCGGGATCCCGGCCAAGGATATGCGGGAATACGCCGAAGTCATGGCGGAGACACTGGCGATCATGCACTGGGTCGTGCAGGTCAATGCGAACGATGTAGAGTTTGTCCTTGCTCCTCCTGACGGGGAGAAAGGCAAATGGGACAATGTTCTCGGCGAGCATGCGATGTGGATGCTTGATTTTGACCTGTGTAGGGATATGTCTATAGATAAGGCGGGGGTAGAGCAAGCTGTTGATGCGTTCTGGAAGAATGATCCGTTCTATCCCCGGCCAGACGAGGAATCGTTTCTTTGGCAGGCGTTCCGAGAGGAGTACTTGAGCACGAGCCAGCGGATTGTGGGGGATGAGCCGGGTGATCGACGGCTTGAGCTGGCGAAGCTTTTTGTTGACTGGGTTGAGGAGGGACCGCAGTAATTCGAGCGTGACATTGAGCGTCTGTTTTGCGACAACTCGGACTCCGGTATATGGTTACATTGAACTGCAGGGTGACGGATAAGCGACAGGGGACAGATTGATGCTGTCAATTTATCCCAGTCGATGCACAGACCTGGTGGGGTTTCAAAGTGCTCTGATACATGTAACGAATCGATTACAAACATTACTTCTTAGTGAATAAAAGTCCGACCTCGTCACCTCTTCTCATCCCCATGGCACCTCGGCAGTTATTTGTCTGTTGAGAGCACGTTGATTCCCAGAGACACCATGTCTTTGGCTATGATTCTGGTTGCACTCACGCTGGCAGCGTTCATAGCCCGTGTTGTTTATCGCTGCTACTTTCATCCTCTCGCTCGCTATCCTGGGCCTTGGTTTGCCCACATCTCTAATGCCTGGTTCGTTCATATCTGCTCTTCAACTTGAACGAAGATCTAGGGCTAACTCAAACAGGAGACTCGTTACATTCTTCAGTGGCCAGCATCACTTGATAGAACAGCGTCTACACGCTAGATACGGTCGCGTGGTCCGAGTTGCACCCGACTGGCTGTCATTCTCCAGTCTGGATGATTTCGAGGCCATCTATGGCTTCAACAAGGCCATCGAGAAGAACGAGTTCTATGACTTTGGTCGCAACCGGGGCAGCCGGCCCGAGAGCATCTTCGCCGCAAAGACAGAGGCCAGTCACCGAGTCAAGAAGAAGAAGGTGGTCAGTCCAGCTTTGACTAGTACCAGGATCGCTACATACAAGCCTGTCATCGATAAGCAGGTGGGGTTTTTGCTAGCGCGGCTGCAGTCAAAGTTGAAGGGATCAACACAAGATGGGGAGAACAACGGTACCACTGTGGTGAACATGGCTCCCGTTGTGCATCAGTTCACCCTAGACACAATGCTTGAGCTGGTCTTCGGCCCTAGCCTAGCGGTACACCCGTATACTGATACCTCTGCTGGCGAAGGGGTATGTTCAAATCTGCGCATCATGACCAAAATGGCCTGGAGTTTCTCACTTTGGCCAGCCTTTGGGTGGCTCATGAACACACGTCCGGTTGATGCAATGTTACGCCGACCGACTTACAGCAAGCAAGGTGAAGTCACCGGTATGGCAGGCCTCATGGGCGTGGCCATGCCGAGGCTCTTGAGGAACCCACAACAAGTGGTCGCATCTTCCCAGCCTAGTATCATCAAGGGCTGGCTAGAAGTCCCTCCGGACGATGCGAACCGCATGACTCCAGCCGAAGTCGCGTCAGAGGCGTCCAACTTGATCATAGCAGGGCCAGGAAGCACGGCAGCTGCTCTGACAGCAGTTATATTCTACCTGGGCACGAAAGAAGGCCAAACTTGGCAGGAAAAGATTCGAGACCAAGTTCGCGCTTCCCAGAGCCATGATTTAGGGCCATCATCGCTGGAACTCCAGGCGGTGATCAAAGAAACGTTAAGACTAAGCGCCCCATTTCCGACTGCTTTTCCCCGAGTGATTAGACCTGGCGCTGAGATGGCCATACCTAGCCTCCCTGCTCCGCTGCCTGTCGGAGCAACGGTCTCTGCGAATACATTTGTGCTGGGACGATCGCAAGAACTCTGGGGCAATGACTCCGATGAATGGAAACCACGGCGCTGGCTGGGGAGTGAGCAACATCGTCGAGAGATGGAGACCAAATTTGTGGCATTCAGCAAGGGCTCGCGGAGCTGTATCGGACGTGAGTTGGCGTTGCTTGTTCTTGCGCAGGCAGTGATTGGTATCGTCCAGCAATGGAGATTCCGCAGTAGGGAGGAGTTGCGAGGCAAAAGCTTCCTTGAGATGCAGTATGACGAGTGTTGGATTGAATTCGAGCCGCTTGACCTGTCGTTGAGCGCATGAAGCGTAGCTCAGCTTGTTATCCTGGTAGCTTAAAAGCACTCTTTCGCATTGTTGCGTCTCATTCGTCAATATGCAGACCATGAGTCACAAATGAAACCAAATATGACTCAAAATCTTGTCTGATTCATTGTCTAGCTGGGAAAGGCGAATATGGATTGCAACCAGCTGCAAGACATGCTGGGCTAATCTGTTTTGTGACCCCGATGGAGGCCGATCTGCGCCCAGATCCACTGCACCGCCATCTAGTACTCTAGTACTCCATCTCCACTGTTTACGCTTTAAGATTTTACTCTCGTCACATCAGACATAAATACAAATGTCCATCATCTCTTCTTCTCGCATCTTTCTGTCTCTATCTCACTCACTCCCTATCTCTCTTTACACTCTAGCATCCTCAGGACGACGGTGTTGTGTTCTGTCCTTCAAAGCCACACTCCCGGGTTCTCACGACTCACTATTCTTCATTGACTGTGACGAGACTGAGGACAATATATGAAATCTCTGAGACTGTGTTGCAGAGGGACCGAAACTTTATCAATTTTATCGCCTCAAAATGGCATCCACCAGTGCCCTTCCTCAAACCCTCAAATCGATCACCGCCACCAAAATCAGAGAACTCTCGAAACAGCGCAAGCGCTTTGAAGAACGCAAGGAGAAGATCTTCAAAGACGCGCAGGATGCCTCCGATCTGCGTTATAGAGTCCAGGTCCTCCTCGAGGGAGTTACCAATCTCAAGGGTTATCCCAACGACGCCTTCGATAAGGAAGATCTCGATGCGGATGATACAGAGGAGCAGACGGCCAGAGTCGCTAATTGCTCTGACCGCGCCACATACACCAATATTCGCCGCTTCCTCCTACAAAGTCAGTATGACCCATCTGTTTCTGAGAGTAGCTTGAGAGACTGGATCGCGCAGCTGGAGGAGGAGCTGCAGTCGCTCGAGCTGAAGCATGAGCATGCTGCGTTCTACAGTAATCTGGTGACAGAGTGGCTGGAGAGCTTGGAGGCTGAGCAGGGCATCGGCAAAGCGTTTGAGTCGGTGGGACGCGCGGAGATGCAGGAGCAGCGTGCGACATGGGAGTCATTGGTTTTCTCAACGGCGGACGTAAATGCCGATGCGATCCGTGCGTACCTTGATAGTCTATTCAACACGACGCCTTTGACCCAGCAGGCGCTCAAGGAACTCCGGGAGAGGACCAAGTCATTTGGGACCGAATTCGCTGCGAAAAAGAAGTGGTTCAGCGTCGACGACCTCAAGTTGGTCTCCGAGTGGCTACTGAGGACTGACCTGCTCACCAAGGAGAAGATGGGTATCCTGAAGGAGTTCATGCGCAACAAGGCAGTAGCTCAGGAGGTGGCAGATGTGTTGAATATGCGTCTGGCTTCACTGGACAGCTGGAACTGGCCTGAGGAAGGGATACCTGTTGAGATGCGTCGTCAGCTCAACGGCAAGTACCGAGTGTTCATGGACGAGGATCTGCTGGACAGTCTTCTCTTCCAGTACCTGGGACTCGAATGGTCGGTGGCGTTCAAGAAAACATTCGGGGTTTTTTTCACGACTCGCGCTTGGCAATCGCCGCGCCAGCAGATCTCCAAAGAAGAGCGGGAAAGGCGCAGGTATTTTCTGGACTCGAAGGTTAGCGGCGACTGCGTGAATGACTACAGACGGCAGACGTACGCGAAAGACTACTTTATGACCCAGCTGCCGTCGTCCGTGGAAGCAGGTGTTCCAGAGTACAGTGACGAAGCGAGCAGCGACGATTTCACCGACGAAGAAAAGCGCAAGAACGCTCTGGACACCAAGCACGCGCTGCTTCACCTGCTGATCACAGAGTCAATCATCCACACCACCCAGTACGGCCAATTTACGGCCATCCGTTCTGATTTCAAGTGGTTTGGCCCGTCGCTCTCACACGCGACCGTTCTGGCGGTGCTGGAGTACTTTGGAGTTCCTCAGAACTGGCTCCATTTCTTCAAGGTTTTCCTCGAAGCGCCGCTCAAATTCACGCAGGACGGAGAGAACGCCGCGGTGCAGGTCCGCAAGCGGGGAGTTCCCATAAGTCATACGCTATCGGACTGCTTTGGCGAGACGATCCTCTTCTGCATGGACTACGCGGTGAACCAAAGCACCGAGGGCGCCTACTTGTACCGCCTGCATGATGACTTTTGGTTCTGGGGCCGCGAGCAGACTTGCGTCAAGGCTTGGGGCGCCATGACCAAGTTTGCCAAGGTCATGGGCCTTGAGTTCAACGAGGAAAAGACAGGAACAGTCCGGTTGACAAAGCCAAACTCCCGTCAAGGCAGCCCAGTCCAAGCAGGATCAGAGCCTTCGGCCGTGCTACCGGCGGGGGACATCCGCTGGGGCTTTCTGAAGCTCGACCCGCAGGAGGGCCGCTTCATCATCGACCAGTCGCAGGTGGACAGCCACATTGCCGAACTGGGCCACCAGCTCGCCTCGTGCAAGAGCATTTTTGCCTGGGTACAGGCCTGGAACAGCTACTTTGCGCGTTTCTTCGCCAACAACTTCGGCAAACCCGCCATGTGCTTTGGCCGGAGCCACATCGACATGGCCATCTCGACGCTCAGCCGCATCGAGCGGACTCTGTTTCCCAACGGCGTCACGGCGCACCTCCGCCAGATGATTGCGGACAAGTTTGACGTCCATGATCTCCCAGACGGCTTCTTCTACTTCCCCATCGAGCTGGGCGGCTTGCAGCTGCTGAATCCGTACATTCCGCTTCTGGCAATGCGCGAGGACATCAAGCAGACGCCGCAGCGCCGGCTCCAGAAAGCGTTCCTGGAGGACGAGGACGCCTGGCATGCTGCCAAGGAGCGGTTCGAGAAGTTCGGGCCCCGCGGCTCGGCGCGCGCTTACTTCAATGATGATGGCAGCCCGGCCACGTTCATGTCGCTGGACGAGTTCATGCGGTTTCCCGAGTCGCACAGCCGCGCTTTGCTGCAGGCGTATAAGGATCTGATCCGCATCCCCCAAGAGGTCAGCATCAATCAGACTGCCGGGTTTCAGAGTAGCCTGGTGTCGCTGGAGAAATCGGGGTCCGGCGGCAGTCGGAAAATCACGGATTCGTGGGGGACGATGGCACCGTACTGGCGCTGGACGGCCGAGGTGTATCACGAGGAGATGGTCAAGAAGTTTGGAGGTCTGGCGGCTGTAAACAGGGAATTCATGCCTTTGGGTGTTGTCGAGACACTGAGAGAGGGCAAGTTCCGATGGCAGGGTTGATGTTGAATGTACTATATTGATACCTTTTGATACCAATTTGTTTCTTTGACAGTCGTTCACCTCGTGGTCATATCTCATTAATCATCCGTATCATAACTACGACGTATACGTATCCTCGAAATCCAGCAAAAGCCCCCTCATCCGCTCCTTCTCCGCCTGTCCCCCGAAAATCACATCAACTGACTCCCGACACAATGCAAGCAGCTCCGCCCTCCCGAGATTAAAGTGCTCCGCCGCCAGGAGATACTCATTCGAGACAGGACTACAGAAAAAGCCCATATCGTCCGTCTGTACCGTCAGCACGCCAGCACCGTCAGCACCTAACCTTCACCAGAAAACATAGAGTAAAAAGAGTGAAGAAAACGTACACACAACACAACCGGACAATCCACATGCCTCCAATACCCGAAATGATGCGCGGGGAACCCCCCATCGATCATCTCCGCATGCACATTACACGACATGCACAGCTCGAGCCCCAGCCTGCGGCGCGCGATCTCGCGCTTGAAGTCCTCGGGCACATGGATGACGTGGCCCAGCCGGTCCGGTCGGAACGATAACAGCGTGCTTAGCTCCCTTTCCGAGCCGGAGGCCACCGTCTCGGCGAAGTGCACCGTAATGCCGAGGCCGTGGGCCTTGGCCTTGGCGAGGGCGGGGCCGTAGAGCGCGACGTCGCCTTTGGTGGGGTTGCCGCAGATATCGATGCCGACGATGCGTGGGCGGTGCGCGATGGCCAGGTCGACGATGTCGAGGGCGTCGGCGGCGGTGTTGTTGCCGCGGTCGATGGCGAGGATGAGGTAGATAGAGATTTGCGGGGAGTGAATGGTCAAAAAGGTTTCGATGGTAGTGAGGACTGTGGTGAGATATTCTGTTCGGGTGAAGGCGAGAGTGGGCGAGGCGCGGGGGATGGTGCGGAGTTCGAGGTAGCGGACGCCGTCGGCGAGGAAGTCTTGTAGGACGGAGTAGGTGGCGTAGGCAAGGCTGTCGAGGTCGTTGCAAAGTTGATAGATGGATTTAGAGAAGACGGAGAAGAAGCTGTTGGGGGCATTTCTTAGTGGGTGATTCTTGTGATGGGACGGGTCAGGTTGTGTTGTACGTCTGAAGAGAGTAGTCGACTTTTCCTGGTGGCATGACTATCAGAGGATCTTCGACGTCGAAGCCGGGGTTTTGGGCCTTCTTCTTCAGCCAGATCTCATGGAGACATTGGCGGCTGATGCTGCCGCTCAGATGAGCGTGGACCTGGAGCTCGTTAGACTCACGGCAGATGCTGTTGGGAAGTTACTACGATACCTCGACTTTAGGTAGCGCCTTGGTGAATGCGGCATCGACCGGCGTTGAATCGTCCATGCTTCTGGTGAACGCCTTCTGTATATTGACTTGTTGTCTTTCGATGGTATCTCTACTCGCTTCCGACGAGGACGCTGGATGGTACAAGATGAAAGCTGTAAGGGAGTTGCGTGGGGAAGATGGCGGTGACTCCTCACATAACATGTTCTGCAGGGTATATCTATCTACACAGTAAGGATGCACAACAATTCTGTCTCTTCTTTTCTACAGAGTAGTGTGGGTGTAAACTCGTTTCTGTGCTCTCAGCGCTATTCAATCTTATCATAACTGCTAGTAATAGTCAAATCTTGAACTACTACGATACTTTCCTTATAAGCAATCCGTCGAAATATTCTTGACCGTCAATGCATCGAGGTCTCGTGTCATTCTACTCTGCCAGAAGTCTCCAATCTAGAGAAGAACGAAGCAATTA